CCCCAAAACCCCAAAACCCCAAAACCCCAAAACCCCAAAACCCCTCATTCTTTTTGTTTCGTTGAAACAAAATTTTATTTGGCAATATTAATCAAAGTCTTCATCTATATATCTTGAAGCTGGAGTTGTAGAGGATGATGATTTGTTGATTTCATTCTTCACATGCTGCTCTTCATCAGTAAATGAGCTATAGTTTCCTTTGCTATTCTCACCTGAATCTTTTCTGGATAAACCTCTGATAGCGAAGTAACCAATATTTGCTAGAGCAATAAAGATCGCTACTGCAAGAAGTATCCATAGCCAAATTGAGCTGCTTGAAGAAAGTCCATTTTGACAAACGGCTTCAAGATCTCCTTGATACATTCTACTTTCAAGGAACTCCTTAACAGCTGGGAATGGGCAGGCATGTGAAGTACAAGTTTCAGTAGCCCAGTTTAACTTCTTTCCATTCCATTTGAGAGCGACTGTAAAGTCGCTTAGATCATTAGCATTAGAGCTTTTCTTTCTTCTGAGTTCAAAGATAATATTTGATGCAAAATAAGCTTGTTCTTCTTGTTTCTGTAGTAACCCACTCATGATAGCAGTTAGGCTTGAGTCATGTGCAGAGATGTACATATACTTTAGCTGTTCATAAAACTCAGGAGTGCCTTCCTTCTCAAGAATAGCATTGATTTTTTGACCGAGAGTTTCTTTTACAAGATCAAAGAATTTAGTAGTTGCTAATCTGACAGCTAGGTCCATTCCGAAGAATCCTTCATAGAGCCCATCTCTCAGTATATCGTCAACTTGGTCTTTCGCATCCTTCGAAAGCTCATTAGGAATTTCCATTTGCTCGAACCAGGCACTGTAGTAATTATCAATGTAGGGGTAAGAGGTGGTAAAATCTAGATTTTCCTCTTTGATTCCGAAATTCTTATGCAATTCTGGGAACAAGACCTTCTGGTATTTATCATTGAGCTCAGACCACTCATTTGATTCAGTGTATTGCTTTCTCAACTCGGTCTGATAGGGACAGAAGCCTTTGTCCATCATTAGCATTATTTCGTCAATATTGGATACATGAATCGGGACAGGTTGGAAATTTTCAGCAGTTGCTTTAGTCCCCAATTTTCTTTTCATTGATGATAAGCCTTTTACCGTAAAAGGAGGGTCAGCTTTATTATTACGAGCTTTACTTAATTCCGGAAGTGATCCGAGAGGGAAATAACCTAATAATTGAGAATAGGCACTCATTATTGTTCTGTTGAAGTTAGTACTTACTACATGAAACTCTCTAGGATCAAAGGGTTTCGTTATGGTTCCTTGCTCTTCATAGATCTTCTGTAGTTCAACTCCCTCTAGATAATGCTGACGTTCTCCGCTTGCAGTCAGGTCTCCAATATAAATTTTAAACTTATCTTCAGTAATCTTGGCATCTGCTGGCAACTCTTCAGCAGGGCTCCTGGCTCCATGCCTTGTGACCAAGAAGGTGAACACAAGTTCGTCCTCTTCTTCAGCAGTGAAGGCCACTGTGAAGAGGAGAAGTAGGAGAAGTGCCTTAAGGTAAACGACCATTAGGGTGTTTGAGTTCAATATTATAATCCGTCTCTGGGGTTTTGGGGTTTTGGGGTTTTGGGGTTTTGGGG